CTTGCGGGCCGCTCGCAGAGGCGAACGACCCCCCGACCTCCAGTCCCCCGCTCGTCCCGCGATGAACGCGTCCTCTCGTGGGCTGACGACTTGGGGCACGGTGTCAACCGGACCCGGAGTTGAGGCCACGGCAGCGTTGCAGACGACCCCCTGCTTTCGTTGAAGGACCTCGTGCGCTTGCATGCTCGTGGCGACCCGTAATGAAGAAATATCGGTGTCGTCGGCCGTGTTGATGGGGACCCCCAGGTCCTGTGCCAACTTGAGCAGCTGCTCCAAAACCATCGCATCTTGGCCCTCCTCGTCCATACGAGGGAACGCGGCGTCAGCGAGAGCGAGCAACGCCGTGCGGTAGGCGAGCACGGTCTCCGTGTCCGCCTTCCGTCTTGCGTAGAAATGATGGCGGCACGCCGAGGGAGGACCGTAGACTTTGGCCATGAGAGCCAGCGCATCCTTGAGCGTGGAGCGGTCCGACCTGCGTGCGGACGTGAAGGCCGCGAGCGCGTTGTCGTCCAGCATGGCAGGCAGTGCCCGCAGTGCCGTAGCGTCGGACCAGGCGGACATCTCTTGATGCGCCAAAAATCTGCGCTGAAATTGGCTCCAATCCCCGCCTTCCGCCTTGAATGCTGACAACGTGGGAAGGCGCTGCTGAAAGATAAAGTCGTCCTCCTCCTCGTGCTTCCTCTCTGCCCCCCCGTCGGTGTGTAAGATGGCGGCCCCAGTGGCGGGTGTGTGATGGCGGTCCGCCGCGCGCGTTGGTGACGTCAGCGGCCGCGCATGGAGAACCGCTGCCACGTGGTGATGGCCGTTCCCGCCAAAAGTTGGAGCGGATGAAATGGCGGGAATCGCCAAATCGTTTTGGCGGGAATCTGCAGGGCGACCCTGTAGCACGTCGGCCGCCGTCCCCGCTCCTCCCGACGAGCTGATCTCCGCCAAGATGGACGCGGCGGTGAGCAGCAGCTCCGCCAGACGGGAGTGTGCCTCGCGAAGCACGGTGTCAGTCCCCCGTCGCTCGACCGGCGCCGTCGGTGGATCCTGCCCCGTGGGCAGCTCCTCTTCCTCACCCCCTGATGCCCGCTGGCCCGCGTCGTCGAGGTTGTCCTCGTGGTCAATCCCGTGGGTCCGACGGTTCCTCCTTGTATCCATGCTTGGAGGACCGTTTCACTTCTGACGCCAGTTGAAGTATGGGAATTGACGGCAGGAACTTCTTGACGGGTAACACACTTTTATTAAATCCTTTAGGTATCACAATACAACGTGTGGTCTCTCTTCTTCCTCCGACACACTCCACTAATCTCGTGTAAGCTCTAGGCCTCTGGCTACACCCAATATACTCGACTCGTGTAAGCCCTATGCCTCTGGCTACACAATACACTCGACTCGTGTAAGCCCTATGCCTCTGGCTACACAATACACTCGACTCGTGTAAGCCCTATGCCCTGGCTACACATAGTACATTCGGCTCGTGTAGCCCTATGGCTACACCCACTACACTCGCCTCTGGGTTACACAGAGTCCCGGTCCCCTTAGGACAGCGGGGCTAGGTACCGCAGGGCTCTAGGTCTTCATCCCCGTCTTCCTTCTTCGCTGGTTACACACTGCCCTTACGCCTGTGTGCATCCCCTTTTATAGCCCCTGCTCACGAGGGACGGAGCTGATGCGGCGTCGACGTGAGCGTCGTTCCTTAATGACCCAATCACGACGCACTCTCTCTCAGCGCGTCACCGCCCCCAGCCAATCGGTACCCCGTAACCCACGACCCCGCGCTGACCCCTGATCCTCCACCGTCAGCGCGCGTCACCACCTACACAGCCAATCATCACGCACTGTGCATACGATCCTTAATCCCAGCGCGTATCACCTCTACAAATGTAACAGCAGTTCACAAAAGCCCTGCAGCTGGTACACGAGGTTAGTATTTGTGAATGAGCTTCCATACACATGTACCATGTGGATCAGCCCCTTAGGGGCCGTCCATAAATGATATCACGCGATTTTGGACGATTTTTGACCCCCCCCCCCCCCCATCGTCACGGCGTCACAAAAAGTCAGCCCCCCCCCCCAAAAAAAACATGCTTCAAATCGCTTTAAACTATTGTCATTGTAGTGCGTATTTAATGTGCGGCTGCACTCTGATGTAGGAGAAAATATTTATTAAAAAGTTATTTAATTAAGTAGAACGTGTTGTCCATATTTATTTAAAGTTGCGCATTTTGATGTGACGTCACATTTCTCAACCCCCCCCCCCTTGTCACACATCGTCACAAATGTCTGACCCCCCCCCCCTCTAGGTGCGTGACGTCAATTATGGACGGCCCCCTACTAAATTGGCAACACTATAACTCCTAATTTACGGGGCCTTTTCATTGGTATGTGAAGTGCTATTTATCTAGAATTAATTCAATTTAATTAAACGGCATAACCTGGTTTCATGCTCTTAACACGCCACAGCTGTCAAAGTGCATGTCTTCTGTTGTAAGCAAGAGCCAACACGAATACCGTGTGCCCTGTTAAAAAAATATACAATTGCCAGCATTTGGACAGATATTGGGGCCGCCCATAAATGACGTCACGCACCTGGGGGAGGGGGGTGAGAAATGTGACGTCACGTAAAAATGCGCGACTTTAAAAAAATATAGACAACACGTTCTACTTTAATTAAACATACTTTTTAATAAATGTTTTCTCCTACAATATAGGAGTGCAGCGCCACATTAAATACGCACTACAATGACAATAGTTCAAAGCGATTTGAAGCATGTTTTATTTTCAACGTCATATTTGAGGGGGGGGGGGTCTGACTTCTTGTGACGCCGTGTTACGAGGGGTGGGGGGGGGGCAAAAATCGTCCAAAATCGCGTGACGTCATTTATGGACGGCCCCATTGTACATATGTGAAAAAATGCTTTATAGCTCATTGGATTCCTCCAGTATAAATACTAATTCAGAGTCTGCGTACACGTTGGACAGTGTATTATTCGTACACATACAGTATATGACATTCTTCAAATGTTGCGCAGCGTCCCGTGTTGTAAACACTGCTACTTCGCTTTCTGGGGTTTCGGTTTTGCCAATGTTACCAACTTTGCGACGATGCCGCGAGATGCATTCTGACACTGTAGCGTAATAAAAACAAGTGGCTGATGAAGCTGATGGATGGAATGTGGAAAGCCAAAGAAGGGAACGCGCCCAGGGAGGACGACCACAAGCGGAGATGGAGCGATGAGATTAGCTCGCATGCAGGAGCTCGTGCAGGAGTCGGCAACCAAAACAACAAGAAGGACCATTTTTGTCGAATTCGGTAAAACGCAATATTGCAAGAGCTGCAATGCATGTGGATACGAGACGATGGTCTTTAATAAAGTCACGAAACAGTCCTTAATAAGCTAGCCGCATGGAGCTCCGGACCCCTGCCCATGGTAAACTGGACTTCCATGGTAAACTGGACTTCCATGGTAAACTGGACTTCCATGGTAAACTGGACTTCCATGGTAAACTGAACTCCCATGGTAAACTGAACTCCCATGGTAAACTGGACTTCCATGGTAAACTGGACTTCCATGGTAAACTGGACTTCCATGGTAAACTGGACTTTCATGGTAAACTGAACTCCCATAGTAAACTGAACTCCCATGGTAAACTGAACTCCCATGGTAAACTGGACTTCCATGGTAAACTGGACTTCCATGGTAAACTGGACTTCCATGGTAAACTGGACTTCCATGGTAAACTGGACTTTCATGGTAAACTGAACTCCCATAGTAAACTGAACTCCCATGGTAAACTGAACTTCCATGGTAAACTGGACTTTCATGGTAAACTGAACTCCCATGGTCAGGGGTCGGGCAACAAATAACAAGAAGAGCCATTTTATTTTTGAATTTCTAAAGACACAACTGCAGTCCTAAAAATAGCCGCATGCAGCCGCAGGTTGCCGACCCCCCAAGCGAGTGGCATCAGGGGGAGTTGGGGGGATGGGAGGCACTGGGAGGTTGATGACTTAGATTAGCAGTGGATAGAGCGAGTTTGGTGAATTATAAACCATTTTATAAGAAGTGTTTGGGTTAGATCGCGTAAATATACACGTGTTGTTAAACCCGACACGGCAAATTGGTAAGGTTTGTCATATTCTTAGTTATTTCGGTAAAGTCACGTAGAAGAGAAATAATAAAATAAAAAAATATATAAAACAATACATTTTCACGTAGAAGGGAAATAATAAAATTAAATATATATATATATAAAACAATACATTTTATTATTTCCCTTCTACGTGACTTTACCGAAAGAACCAAGCATATGAATCCCTGCAGTCACGAAAGCTTTAAATCAAAATTTAAGGTTTGTCATGTAAACATAACATTCTAGACTTGAAGCTTTCGTGACTGCAAGGAATCATATTCTTAGGTGTTTTCGGTAAAGTCACGTAGGTAAAACATCAAAATTTATTATTTTATTAATTTTGATGTTTTACCTACGTGACTTTACCGAAAACACCTAAGAATATAAACATAACATGGCAATCCGTTACTCGTATAGCAACACCGGTGTGTTGGAGAGTAAATCCACAACATTTACAACTCGAGAACGACGTTTCGCCAGTCCGCAATTACAGCTAGCATTATCAACCAAGAGACAGATTTTGATTTGAAGCTTTCGTGACTGCAGAGATTCATATTATTGGTTCTTTCGGTAAAGTCACGTGACTTTACCGGAATAACCAAAAGTCAAGATCCAGATTTGTGTAAAAGTCTTCCTGTTTCGTTCTTAAATAGAGGAATACATTTGATGTCGTCACTTGCGAGCCAATAAAGTGTAAAGACCGGGGGCGGGGGAGGGGGTTTAATGAATGCATATCAATTACAATGGGCATCCAATTTACCGGTGGGGTTATTCGCATGGTAATCGTCACATCATTATGCATGCACATAAACCATTTCATCGACGTCACCCTGCAGGCGTCACGTGGGGGTGGTAGGAACTGTGACGTCACTGATCGGAACCCCCCCCCCCCAGTCGCCCAGGACCCACGAAAGTTTCATTTCGTTGCCATCTTCCAAGGGAATCGCCGCGGTTTTTAAAAAATAAAAAAAAACCTTTTGCCTTCACGTCTCAACAATACAAAAGGTTCGCTTTTACTTCTCATTACTATTCATGTTATTATCAGAATTATTTGACAATTTTAACGGGAAAAAATGATCAATCGTTTGTAAATGATTCGCGGCAGAGGATTGATTCGGTGATCAAGGCACGAATCGGCAGCGCGTGGAAACAGCCGCTGGCGTACCGAGGTGCAGTCGATGTTCGATCTTCGACATAAACTTCCCAATTGTCATCGAAAACCCGATCGAACTGACCGCGAAACGATGTCGCGTCTGTGGAGCAAGGCGGCGGCGGTGTGTGTTGTTGTGGTTGTGTTGTTGTTGACGTTGGGGCGCTCGGAGTTAAAGTGATTGAAGTCGTCTATAACATTGTGTGCGTACGCAGTTGTAGCCATCTCTGCCGTCAATCCGCGGCCGCCTAGAAGTGCAGTACAACAGCGCGTGTGTGTGTGAGTCGTCTTGTGTGTGTGAGTCTTGTGTGTGTGTGAGTCGTCTTGTGTGTGAGTGAGTCGTCTTGTGTGTGAGTGAGTCGTCTTGTGTGTGTGAGTCTTGTGTGTGAGTGAGTCTTGTGTGTGTGAGTCGTCTTGTGTGTGAGTGAGTCGTCTTGTGTGTGAGTGAGTCTTGTGTGTGTGAGTCTTGTGTGTGAGTGAGTCTTGTGTGTGTGAGTCGTCTTGTGTGTGTGTGAGTCGTCTTGTGTGTGTGAGACTTGTGTGTGTGTGAGTCTTGTGTGTGAGTGAGTCGCCTTGTGTGTGTGTGGTCGTCTTGTGTGTGTGAGACTTGTGTGTGTGTGAGTCTTGTGTGTGTGTGAGTCTTGTGTGTGTGTGAGTCGTGTGTGTGTGTGAGTCGTCTTGTGTGTGTGAGTCGTCTTGTGAGTGAGTCTTGTGTGTGTGTGTGAGTCGTCTTGTGTGTGTGAGTCGTCTTGTGTGTGTGAGTCGTCTTGTGTGTGTATGAGTCGTCTTGTGTGTGTGTGAGTCTTGTGTGTGTGTGTGAGTCGTCTTGTGTGTGAGTGAGTCTTGTGTGTGTGTGAGTGTGTGAGTGAGTCGTCTCTGTGTGTGTGTGAGTCGCCTTGTGTGTGTGTGTGTGAGTCGCCTTGTGTGTGTGTGTGAGTCTTGTGTGTGTGTGTGAGTCGTCTTGTGTGTGAGTGAGTCTTGTGTGTGTGTGAGTGAGTCGTCTTGTGTGTGTGTGAGTCGCCTTGTGTGTGTGTGTGTGTGAGTCGCCTTGTGTGTGTGTGTGAGTCTTGTGTGTGTGTGAGTCTTGTGTGTGTGTGTGAGTCTTGTATGTGAGTGTGTGAGTCGTCTTGTGTGTGTGTGAAACTTGTGTGTGAGTGAGTCGCCTTGTGTGTGTGTGAGTCTTCTGTGTGTGTGAGTCGCCTTGTGTGTGTGTGAGTCGCCTTGTGTGTGTGTGAGTCGCCTTGTGTGTGTGTGAGTCGCCTTGTGTGTGTGTGAGTCGCCTTGTGTGTGTGTGAGTCGCCTTGTGTGTGTGTGAGTCGCCTTGTGTATGTGTCGCCTTGTGTGTGTGTGAGTCTTGTGTGTGAGTCGCCTTGTGTGTGTGTGAGTCTTCTGTGTGTGTGAGTCGTCTTGTGTGTGTGTGAGTCGTCTTGTGTGTGTGAGTCTTGTGTGTGAGTGTGTGAGTCGTCTTGTGTGTGAGTGAGTTAGTCTTCTGTGTGTGTGAGTCTTGTGTGTGAGTGTGTGAGACTTGTGTGTGTGTGAGTCGCCTTGTGTGTGTGTGTGAGTCTTGTGTGTGAGACTTGTGTGTGTGTGAGTCGCCTTGTGTGAGTGAGTCGCCTTGTGTGTGTGAGTCGCCTTGTGTGTGTGTGTGAGTCTTCTGTGTGTGTGAGTCGCCTTGTGTGTGTGAGTCGCCTTGTGTGTGTGTGAGTCTTCTGTGTGTGTGAGTCGCCTTGTGTGTGTGTGAGACTTGTGTGTGTGAGTCGCCTTGTGTGTGTGAGACTTGTGTGTGTGTGTGAGTCGTCTTGTGTGTGTGTGAGTCTTGTGTGTGTGTGAGTCGCCTTGTGTGTGTGTGAGTCGCCTTGTGTGTGTGAGTCGCAGTCGAAGGGATTTCCGCGTCGTGTTTTTTGTTTTGGCGCCGCGTGGCTGGAGGGTGGGTGGCGCAGGAATCCGTCGCAACAAACGCGGCGATCCGAGAGACTATCGGAAGAGTTTGTTGTTGTTGTTCTTCTTCTTAGCGAATTAGTTTAGCACGTAGTAATACATGGTTTGTTATCGTTGTTGGGTTAGATGGTGTAAATATAAATGTCACGTAAACAGAACATGCCAATTGGTGTTACTCGGACAGCACACCGGCGTGTTGGAGAGCAAATCCACGACATTTACAATCTGAGTAAATGTTAATTTTCAGAGAGGGGGGGCCGCCACTTTCGCCGATAAGACATCGTCAGTGTAAGGGCCGCCTCACATTCGAAATCATTGCGGGTTTGACAGCAGCACGATGATGATGATAATAATGGGGGGGAGGGGGGGGGGTCACATTTGTGTTCTGTCTGGGACCGCACTAAAGGCCACCAGGGATCGCCAGTGCCCCGCGGATCTTCCAATGAATAACACTGGCCTAAAAGATCGATATAAATAAAATAATCTTTACACTACCGCACAATATGGTAGAGTTCAGTAGTCTCAGGACCTCAATTATATGGGCGCTGGACGCATTCTCGGAGGGGCAAGCTTCGTGAAGCAAGTTCGTGCTTGGTGACTTTTACAGGAAAGCGGTCCGAGTAGGGAAATGAATGATGGAGGGAATTTGAGCCAAACACCTTTAATTTCGCAGAAGATTAAAGAACATGGTGGATGGCACTTCCATGCACAGAATGACCCCACAACAAGAATGTGGGGAATGCCCGACAATGGTCAAGCGCCGGCTCCACGCTCACGAATCAGGAGACGTCTTGACTTCGTTACTCTTAAAAGGGAAAATGTCTGGGGCAGTGTGCTGGTTTTATTTCTCCAGAAATTAGCAGAGCCAAGTAATTGTTTTTGCCATCGAGAATGAAGTGGAGCTGGGTATTTTTTTGAGTTATTTATGTTGGTTGTTAATTCAAAGATTTCTGTGATAGAATTAGATCATTTATCTCGCTTGTTAATTGCATACACTACACCATGCCAGCATCTATAAGTCTATAACTACCACTTGATACCCCTTTCTAGCAAGGGATGCTAATGAACTCACTGTATGAACTAATTTTTGTTATCATTTGTATTTTACAGACTTGCATTACCACCGCATCAGAAGTTACGTGTACAATTTGAAGACTAGGTTTATTGTATCCTAGTAACATACTTTTTATGTTTCGGGATGGCGACAGGTTTCACTCCGCCAAACCATGTGTTTGAAAATTTAGACAGAGATATTGTAGAATTCATGTTTAAGAAGATGGCTATGGAGATAGGTAATTTAAAGCTTTTTTGTAGTGTCGATTTTCAAATAAGTGATGGGATAAGTCCATCACTTTGCAACGTCACTCTGAAACCTGCCAATGAAGTAGCAAAAGAAGGATTCATGTCACTGTACGATAATGAACAGGTTGAGCTGCAGTCGACCCATATCTCTTGGAGTGATGTTGATCTCCACAAGGGACACCGTTTGCTGAGGCAAGCTGACGATTTCATTTCACAACAATTTCCTGATGTTTACCAAATTAAAGGAAATAAGGGTGTCCGCTTTGTCGGGAAAGGAAAGCAGCCAGCGTCGGCTCTGGAAGAATTCCGGAAGATTGTGCATTCCCAAAAGTCATCTGATCAAGAATTCCAGAAGATTGTGCATTCCCAACAGTCATCTCGTCAGTCCTTAAAAAGAACACTGAGTGGAGGTGATGATGTTTACCATAAGTTTTTTAAGTCTAAAGAAAACAGTAAAGATGAAGGTGAGAGTAGCAAAAGCAAAGAATCCAATGAAGACCAGAAATCCAGCAAAGAAAATGACAGTGAAGAAGACATGTGCCCCATCTGCTTGGGTGATTTTACAGAAAAATATGCACTGCCGAATTGCAAACATGCTTTTTGTCGTGAATGCATAGATATGGCTTCCAAGATCCGGCCTGTTTGTCCTATATGCAGCAAGCCATATGGGACTATTGTTGGTGACCAACCCAAAAATGCACACATGACGGTCAACACCACATCAGGCCACCTTCCAGGCTACCCACTTTGTGGCACTATTGAAATTACTTATTCCATTCCGAGTGGAATACAAGGTGTAAGTACCACCACATGAAGTTCACAATATATATTTATCTTGATTTAACAGTATTACATTTTCACACTGACAATATGCTGAATTGTACGAATTTGTCTATTTTAGCCTGAGCACCCACAGCCAGGCATGGCTTATCATGGCACCATGCGCATCGCATACCTGCCAGACAACACGGAAGGGAACCACGTGCTGCGACTGCTGCAAAGAGCCTTCAAACAGAGGCTCATCTTCACTGTGGGTGTATCGCGCACCACCGGCATAGACAACATTGTCACTTGGAATGACATCCACCACAAGACCAGCATCCGAGGCGGACCCATAAAGTAAGGCGGGTATATATTACTTTCCAAATCTGAGTAAAATCTTAGCAGTTGAGGACCTTGTGTGATGACTGGACAACATTTGCAGAAATATGCTAGCATTAATGAAATGCTGCTATTCTGTAATAGTTTGCACACAATCCAGATGTCGCTGGTTTGATTTTATCTCATGGAATGCTGCCATTCTGTAATTGTTTGCACACAATCCAGATGTCGCTGGTTCGATTTTATCTCCCGGCACGCCAGTGGAAACAATGTGCGGGTTTCTTTGATCCCGCCCTGCCACTGTCCACCCAGCAGTATAAGTGGATACATTAAGTCAATCAGCAGGTTGTGTGGTGGGGTAAAGTGTGGGTACTCTCACCTCTTCAAAGGTACCTGACCAACTTGAAAGAGTAGTCCAACATTCTCTAGAGGGACTCTCTTTAGCTCCTAAGTTGCACCGTTACCTAGCATTGTCATAACTTAACCTGGCAGAGAATGGAGGACCAAAATGTTGTATTTAATTCTAGATTTGAAGCTTTCGTGACTGCAATGATTCATATTCTTAGGTTTTTTTCGGTAAAGTCACGTAGGTAAAAAATTAAAAGTAAAATAAAATAAAAATCAATGATTACTCAAACTGAGTAATCATTGGAAAGATGTGATTAACTATGCAAAAAAAAGATTTAACTACACTTATTTGGACCATCTTATTTGACAGACAACTATTACAGGTTATTGATAGACAGCCAGTTTTGTTTTACCAGGTTTAGTTTTTTCTTTTTTCACACTTTTGTTATGTCGGCTAGGCGTAGTCACAAACCGCACCTCCATAACAAAGGCTCAGTCTTTTGTTATGCAGTCTATTCTTAGTCTTAAGCCTCACCTTACCATATTAATCAAAAGTGTGCCGTACTTGGCCCTTCCCCTCTTCAATCATTATATGTACGGAGTGGTAGCTCTTGTAATCTCTCATTTACTTGATACAGGTGTCGTGGCTGTGACGTTTCCACCTGAAGACGGAAGCTTGTGTTGCATCCGAAACGTCGTGATTTTTATTTTATTTTACTTTTATTAATTTTAATTTTTTACCTATGTGACTTTACCGAAAAAACCTAAGAATATGTTGTATTTAATATGCCACAGTCTTTGTAGTTTACCTCGGTTAGCTAATGACACGAGAACACTTTACTCAATGTAGGTGCAGATACTACATCCGACATGCAGTTGTGACTAAAGTTTTGGTGCGATATTCCCACGTGTACATTATTAAACTAAATGATGTTGTGTTCTTTGTGATTGTATGCTCTCTCAATTTGTATAAACCACTGCATTGTTAATGTTTTAAAAATTATGTTTGACCAAGTTTTTTTATTTAAAATTTCATTTCAGTCTTAATGTATTGTTTACTGGTGATCTAATGCTATATCCATTGGAACTCATTACATCATTGTTTGTTAATCTATTTTAGCTTTGGCTATCCAGACCCGGATTACCTGAAACGTGTTCAAGATGAGCTGAAGGAAAAGGGCATTGTGTGACCGGCATGCACGAGTGGTTATCACCACCATCCTAAGGATGGAGTCATGGATTTCTGCCTGGTAATTAGGGTTGCCGTGATATAACAACATACGATATTTAACATGCATGATGATCGGATCATCCGTTTTTATTTTATTTTGTTTTATGATTTATCGGGCCTCATCAAAATAAAATGTTTTGGCAACATTTCTTAAATTTCAAAAGCATAGTAATTAAAGTAAAACAATTGCCAGTTAAATTAGTGCTTTGCAAAATTTTTGTGGCGTTATTGATGACTTGATGGCTATATTACGTCATCATCTTTACAGCTCATTTAAATCATGTTTGTGTAACTCGCAGCATGCATGTTATATAAGCTCACATATGTAAACTTTCAGTGATTAAAATACTTATGAAAGGCTTGTTTGATTAACTATAATTTAAAATTGTATGCAATATTTGTACTGCAAATGCAGCAAAGCACAAACAATAGTAAAATTGTGAAATGGATGTAGAGAGTTATATGAGACATTGCCATAATTGTCATTGGATAATTGTCATGTTGAATTGTGAAAAAAAATATTGCGGCAACCCTAGTGGAAATACATGTGGGTGTTTCAGAAGCCATACACTGTTTTGAATTAACAATATGTTCCTTATAGTTGGCACATCAAAATAAAAATTATAAAAAGTGGAATTATTTCTAGAAGTCCCACAAACTTAATATAACCGATACATGTTACTGTTAGCCCGGAACACGTTTTGTAAGAACTTTTCAGATGGCCTCCACAAGTTTACTGATCAGATGACAACACTGAATGCCATACAAATCCATAGCTTTTATATTATTTATTTTTCATGAGACAAGTTACCAAATAAAACGAGTATTTTTGGAAAATTCATAATCTTGCATTATACTGTAAAATGTACTGCAACATATGATTTTGCAGTGATTATTTGTGTTGCGAACTACGTATTTATTTTAGTTCTTTTTGTATTCAGGGATTATATTGCGGTCCTCGTGTCCACCATGGTACAGGTTTCTAAATTACCAATCTCCATTGAAAGACAAATGAAGCCCTTGCACATTCCATGTACCTGGTCATTGGTTACACTAAACCCTGCTCGATGGTGGAGTGGTGAGAGGAATAGATTTTTAGAAGCGCTGCTCTGGATCATTCAGGAAAAAAAGTTACATTCCAGTTACAGGATAAAGGCTGGAAGGTTAAAATACCAAAAATAATTGAATGTGTCCCATCCATAATGGAGATATTTCTTTTATATATATTAGTTACAAATCGTTCAATGTATGTTTAACAAATACTTGCTTCCCATTTTAAAAGTGATTGTTTTATAAGTACACATTAATTTTGGATAACATTTTAATATAATGCTTAGACTACTATTCTCCGGATTATAAGATGCACATTTTCATCCATTTTTGAGCAAAAGTGTGCAGTTCATCTTATCATCTGGTAGGTGTGTATGACCAAATTTGTGTAACTTTTTTCACACTGGCCAGTCAACTTTAATGTCGCTAGCCATGCCACCATAGCATGTGACCAGATTTGTATAACTTTATTGGCAGTCTCTACAGTAAACAACTTTATTGCCACCACACAGTCACTTCCACGTTATGGATACTATACAGTACCGAACTACATAAAACATTTGTTTTACCGTATTCTCCAGATGATGAGGCACACTTTTCCCCCTACATTCACTGTATGTATTTTATCTAACAAATGACAATTGTTATTTTGTTACGTAGATAGGTTCAAAGAAAATAACAAATAATTGTTATTTTGATATTTTATTTGAACCTATCTACGTGACTTTACCGAAAGATCCATAGAATATGTATGGATTTTCTGGGGGGAAAAAATATAAACAAAAATTCCATGGTGTATTGTAATCCAGAGAATACGGTACTGTATATTATCACGATGACACCAAATTATTTTAAGTGCTCACAAGTGCTTTTATAAACCATACCTTTGTATGAAAAAAATTCAACTCGTTAAAATATGAATACACTTGTGTTAATATTGAGCTAATGTAGTTTGTAATGCCTTGTTCCTTGATTTAAATGTTGACATGTTTGCTGCATATTTGCACCTGTTCCTTGATTTAAATGTTGACATGTTTTCTGCATATATACACCTGAAGTGCTGCTCTCAATATGACACTTGTTCTTTAAATTTACTTTTGTGATGTTGAATAACCTATCTAAGCACAATGTAACTTTGCTTCAAAAGTGCCTATTACTACAATAAACAGCCATGTGTTCAACCTCAAGTATGACAATTATTGAGCATAAAAAAAGAAACAATTTTGTAGATTATTAGGTCATGTTTCATTATCAGCAGTACAGTAGTTGATAATCCACTACAATTGGAATAGATATTTATCATTGGAATAGATCTATGGAAGTGTGTGAACGGAAACCACGCATTAACAAAATCAAGCTATTACTATACAATGTAAGGAATATTTCACTAATTATTTCACAGGGAAAACCACATGTCCTTTCAAGATTGATTCGTAAAGCGTTATACATTTCATGATAATAATTCGTTGATAAGTACTATCTTGTGGTTTGTATGGGTAACTAAACTTTTCATTTGTATGACAATATCCATATCCTTCATCATTTACTATTCTCATCCCCATCTATTCTCTCTGTAAACACTTTGCACAGACGTTGAGCATGTTGAATGTAAAGGTTCAAAGCTAATGTTCCAACTTGATTTGAAGCTTTCGTGGCTGCAGGAATTACTCTTTGGTTATTTCGGTAAAGTCACGTGACTTTACCGAAATAACCAAAGACTAATGTTCCAAGGCAAGGTGTTGATGCTTTGTTGTGTGGTTTCATATTTACTGCAGCTTTAAACGATTAAACTGTATATTACATACAGCTGTGAAATAAAACATCTGTTTTGCAGTTAATCGAGAGTTGTATTTATTTAAGTGTTTCTTGAATTATGTGGATTGAATGAATTCTTAATACTGTATTACTTTACGGGAGAATGGTGTCTGCTGTTTAGATCCCCCAGAGCACGGCGATGAAAGTTTGCTGCACTTAAATGTATGTCTAGTCATGTGGGTGTGCAAAAATTACAACTTTAATTTTAGATCAATGCACATCTCAGTTTTAAGTGTATATTTTTAATACTTTGATAATGGTGCAGAGAGTTTATCACCAAGTATTTGATTCCAGCATTATAGTATATACCCACAGCCAAGCAAGGTAGCCTCCATAGACTCCCTGAAGGTGTGCTACCACTGGTGTGACCCGACTGCTCGGTGAGATGGTCACGAATATTGCTTGTGAGTCATTGTATGGCACAGGCAGATTGCAGATGGACCCTTCACAGCATGAAAGACACTCCTGTAGAGAGACAAGACAGATCACAAATGCGATGCGAGTTACATTGAGTTATGGAATTCATTCTTAACATTAATGTGTATTAAAACAAATCATTGGTTCTCGCTCAAGAGTACACCGAGGCATACTACAGGGTAGCGCATTTGAAATTTGATACTGAGGCCTCATCTGATATTTGAGGCTCGGACAAATGTAACGGCAATTGACAATCGTATCAATGCAGGTGGTACATTGTGATGTCCCATACACATCTGTCCCATGTATATTAACTGTTCATCCGCATAAAAAAATTCCAAAATATAAATAACGTGTAGTGTTACTTGATGACTGATGATATGTGTAAAAATTCATTTATTAGGTATAGCCCTGTGAGCCATTCGGCTCTTGAATCGGGTGGCAACCGCAACAAACAAAAAACTAAAACATGAACAAGAAAACATCTTAAAGTGAATGTGACTAAGTGCAAACAGAAAATCCAAGAAAAGACGGCAAAATATTGCAGAAAAAACAAATCGGACACTTTCATCGGTCCAACAGAACTGTTGAACTCTCGGAATGCAATCCGTTAATTTTTACTGACGATTCAGGTTATTGAACCATACCTCATGCTGGTCAGTGTGGGTTTGGTGGAGTTGTTCAAAGACGACGAGTAAACCGTTTTCAGAATGTATTCCCTATTCCTAAAATCAGGAACCAGTGCTCGTTTTCAGTCGAATTTTAGTAATCAATGCACCGATTGGCATGCTCGATGTACAAATGGCGCAGTCGCCTATTTCACCGCGTGATATATTTTTCCTTTTCCCTAATTTCTCAGTTAAAAGATAAATGTGCAACCTTGCAATTGCTTGATGGAGCTCGAGGGTGTTTGGTTTATTCGTTCACGCTGACCAGACGTCTTGGAAGAGCTGGGCATACCCACACTTTAACCCACCACAGACGACCTGCCGATTGACTGGCAGACCCCCCATTTATATTGCTGGGTGGACAGAGGCGAGAGAATGTTACAAACATGCACCGTGGGTGGGTTCAATTGCCATGTCCACAGGAAATGACATTGAACCACCGGCCTCTTGATTGAAAGTCCAATGTGTTATCAATCACGTAACGGCAACTTTCTTTGTTACTCAGTTAAGAAGGTAACTAAACTATTGTTAATTTAACAGGTAAAGCCCACTGAGCGATATAGCTGTTTCAGAAGTGACCTGGCCACAAATGATTGCTCAATGAAGTGACTTATGTTGAAATTTATAGCAGCCAATTACTCGAAACGCATGTTTCTAAATGTGTAGGGAAAAATCGGAGGACCTGGAGAAATATCCATGCGACCATGGGGAGAACATGCAAACTCCAAATATACAGGCGTCAGGGTTGGGATCGAATCTACGACCTCCTGTATACCAGCGAGGTAGTTAACATCTCGCCACCGCGGCACCAAACTATTTGTATGCTGCTGGACATCTAAGCGGTTACCAGTAATGCAAGAAAAACTGATTTTAACAACTCCACTTGGGTGAAAGCGAGGAGTTAGGGAATATACATGCAGTTGCCTACCACGTAGCCCTGCAACGTTGTGCATTGCAGTGTCCACACAACGTATTTCAGGATCAAACTAGCTCAGCTTCCGAGATCTGACGAGATCGGGTAACATTCTGTGTGGTTTTAGAGTAATCGGAGCACTGTGCTCAAGGGTTATTGTTGCGTAAATTGGACGCACTTACGATCCGCCCGTTGCTTATGCGCTGGCATCCCACAGGCAGGCAGTCTCTGAGCTGGGAACACCTCTTGCTGACCAGCACGCTCTCCCGGCCATCCGTGGCCATCACGTGGCGCGTGTGACAATATTCGCTCTCTGCACACACAGCGTCATAGGGGCAGAATGTTTTTAAAATTAAATTTAACAAGGTTAGAGACCAGGATCGTTCAATTTGAGAGTGATCTGGGTAATGAAAATGATGAATGCCAAAATTAAATAAGCTCAGCAGAATGTAGAAAAACAACACAGGTTTCCCCCGCTTTATGCGGTAGTAGATGCTTTCCAAAAAGGGAGCACAGAGTGAAACCGCACGAGGAGACAAGTAGCGCACACAGTCCATAAACGATGTTGTTTCAAATCCGACCACATAGCCGCGTATCAGTGAATTAAAACCGCATACAGTGACATTTGAGTAGAAATAGGTTAATCGCATATACACGAAATTGCATAAACCGAAAATGGTATGCTCATTTACATAGCACAAGCTATATTACGTGTTAGGTTATCGAGTAAAATATATTTGTTTTATTTAGTTTAATGATTTTAAAAGTTCCACAGGAATGCATATAATACAATACTCAGTACTGTAGTTTCTTAATAACACCTACCTGTTACTACCCTTTAAAATGTTTAAATATAGTGCCCATTATTCACCTCGGATAGCCCGGCTGAGTTTCAAGATTTCTTTTCAAGAGGTGCTGCATTGGGATGTTTGTCATCTGCTACCCACCTCGCAGCCCTACGCCGACAACACCTGTTTTGTCACCCAAGTTCGAGCCAGCACTTAACACCGATTTGCTTTCAATATCAGAGGTTGGGTAATTTGTGTTCATTGTTCCTGCACACTCAACAGTCACATTGCTAACTTTATCGTGCCCAAATATGGGTTTTTTTTCTAACGAGATATGTATTTTGAAAACCGAGAGAACGCAGTCACATGTGAGTGCAGTCCCCCCCCGCCTCTAACATAAGCCTCTATTTGTAGTCACATCTTACAGATCGAACCCGACGTTGTGATTGCTCCTCGGCAGTGGTCCATGAAAGGCTTTGTGTTGTTGTGACAGTTAAGAAATGCGCAGTCGTGTTCAGTTTTTAAGGTAGCCTCGAATCTATAAAAAGCAATTTTGATCAAAGATGTCCGTGACACTATGAAACCAATAGCTACGAAACTCACCAGAACTTATAAAGGCCGGTGCCCCACATAACGATAGTTTTTTGGACAAAAGTTGGCAACTCAATACGCGATATTTATAACAATGAATCATTGCGGCATGGCTTGGGAAGTTTCTACCGCCGTTCTTAGGATTTTCAAAAACGACTTGAGATTTAGCTTTTAGACTAAATGTTAACAACCGTTAAACATGGTCTCGTGTCAGTCATGTGACTGGCAACTTGCAGTGAACCACAATTCTATAATTCAGTGGTTAAGAAGGCACCTTAAGAGTATTTGTGTTCTTAAGCTATTGATTACTAATTATCTTAAGCGAATCATTTCCTGTGCAGGACCGCTGTGTGGCGCTGTTGCACGGCAGACTTTTAGCCTTCGTACTTAACGAGGAGAGGTTAAATCTGATTTGGTAAATCTGCACTAGCGAGCGAGTTATTTATTTATTTCATATTTCGCATACAGAGTTCAAGTTATTTCGTTTTATGTGCACCTTAAATTTGTTGATAATGCGTTGACGCAGGAGATTGGGATGTAAAGTACTAAAATATCGGCCAAGCGAGGTTTAAATGGTTTGTTTTAAATGAGTGGAAGTGGCTTGAAAAATGATTAGGAATGATAAAAAAAACTCAAACATGTTCGGAAAAAGGATAAAGATGGACACGTCCTAAATTTTTAGTTTAAAATATTTATTTAGGACATATTTTGAAGTTAAAACAAGCTACAAATGTATAATCGATTGTAAACCACAACATCGGCAATAGATGTTAAAGAAACAATGCCATTCTGGGAAATGCTAAGTGACTCAACTTTCAGGAATAATCTTTTAATTAAATAAGCCGAGGATTATCCTTCTTACGAGAACCCCGGAGATTGGCTCACAGCTAAGCAGCTGTCTTCTATTGGAATTTAAGAATTATGAATCAACGCCATCTCCTACAGAGGAGCTCGTTTTAACATTGTGGCTTCTGCCACGACATCGGCTGTGTGGGTTTAAGGCTGAGTTGCTCCGTTCTCACTTTCATGGAATGTTTTCCATTGCTAAATTATCTCGATCCACATCAGCACAGGGCTCGAGCTTATATTCTCGCTCTTGGAACAGGAGAGACTTTTGAAATGCAGGATTTGGCTTAGGCTACGAAAGCAGATTGAGTGAAACTGGCACGAGTTTGATGTATGCGATGTCTGGCTCGGCGTCACACACTGTGCTGGGTTTGTGAATTTGATACGAATATATCCATTGGAGCTACTTAATCATTATGGCAGTGTAAAAACAACTAACCTATTAAGTGCTATATTTTGCTATTGATTTCTAGTAGGGCTGAACGATTTGGGGAAAATAAGTAATTGGGATTTTTTTCTGACAGATATTGCAATTTGATTTGCGATTACATTTTTTAAAAGTCAAGCTTCAGTTCAATATTCACTGTGTAATAGATTTAAAACATGTGATGGAGCATTACCACATGATACCATCAAAATATGAACTGCTCTATATATTCTAATTCAAGGATGACAACTTTAAGGATATGAATTGCTTCCAACATGTATTTATTAAAATGTTTTAATTGAAATAGAACAATCAAACATAGAACAATTGTTAAGTTAAATAAATAAAGTTATAATAATAAATGAAACAATTATAATAAGAAAGTAATAGGGCTTTTCAAATCGCAAAAAATCGCAGCCTTTGCGATTTGCTAATCGCATTGTTTCAAATTGCGATTTCGATTTCAAATCGATTACTCGTTCAGCCATAATATATAGGGAGTGCGTGTGTTCATGCTATATGCAGTGGTAAGCACACATCACACCTTGTGCGACGTTCTGGTCTTAATGGGTGCTTGTGAACAACGCTTGCCCCAGCAGTATGTACGACTAGATCTGGGAATCTTCAAATGTTTCCAAATTCTAAAAATCTTTGTTCATTACTAAATTGGAATTACTCTTTGGTTCTTTCGGTAAAGTCACGTAGGTAGAAAAATAAAATTAAACAAAAAAATAACTGTATTTAACTTTTCTACCTACGTGACTTTACCAAAAGAACCAAAGAGTATGGGTTCCTGCAGTCACGAAAGCTTCAAATCAAGATTCAATTGGAATTATACGGTATTGGCAGAAGAATATCCCATGTCCCTCCATCCTGGTCTCTTGAGTTCTCACCGGGTTAAACAATATCAACATGAAATTTCGTCTTTTGCGATATGCACAGTGCAGGTGTATAGATCATAATAAAGGTTTTGGGTTAGATCGCGTTATTTATAAATCTGTCGTACCCCTCCACCACCCGAGACGGCCAAACAGTAAAAAAAGTGTCACGTTTACAAAGGACAAAATAATGCACTTCTTTAGCACACCGGTGTGTTGAAGAGCGAATCAACATCATTCAAAATTTGAGTACGACGTTTCGCTGGTAATTACAATCAGCTTCATCGGGCAAGAATGGTGAAGCTCTCCTGTTGCTCCCGGTTTTAAATAGAGCAGCAGGGTGACGTCATCATTTAATTCAATAAGGTGCAGTGATTTGAGGCGGGGAGGGTATTGTAATTATATAGATTGTTAATCATTCAATTGTTATTCATTGATATTTGTTTCCCTTATAAGGAATTGTAATTGTATCATATATTTCATTTATTTAATAATACGCTTCCAGGCCGCACTAAGCCTACATGTAGCTTTTTTTCTTCTTGGTTCTTTCGGTAAAGTCGCGTAGAAGGGAAGTAATAAAATAATAAAAATAAAACATAATAAAATAATTCTCACGACGTTTCGGCTACAACGCAAGCAGCCGTCTTCAGGTGAAGACGGCTGCTTGCGTTGTAGCTTGCGTTGTAGCCGAAACGTCGTGAGAATTATTTTATTATGTTTTATTTTTATTATTTTATTACTTCCCTTCTACGTGACTTTACCGAAAGAACCAAGAAGATGAATCCCTGCAGTCACGAAAGCTTTAAATCGAAATTTAAAGCCTGTAGCTGTTACGCCTACGTGTCAAACAGGTGTATAGATGTTCAGATACCTTTTGGACAGTACGTGTCAGGAGCCCAGCGATTGCACTCAAAGTTATCTCTGGCGTTTTCACACGTGAAGCATTTAAATCCACCCGGGTGCGGTGTTGCTGCAGTAAAAAAATAAACATGTAAAACTCATACATTGACATCGACACGAGAACATTGCTACATATGTATGGAAATCACGTGCCAGATATGCCTTTTAGAGTTTACCACTTTTTACATCTTTTATATGATTTAGCACTCTGCGCTGAATATCGTTAACCTGAGTTGGATTTTCTCCCACGGCTAATAGTGAGGAGTGGTATCTAAAATAGTCCTGAACGCCTCCTTTACCAACCCTCAACGACAAATGTGGTGAAATATGGTGAAATAATCCCCATGACCGACATGGCATGGGTCGGCCTTCATTCAGCAGTGTACTGACAAAGGGATGAAAATTCGTTTTACGGTGTTGCGAACACATTCTGTGGTCTTATATTTTAAAGACACATCGGCAAACCTGTTTTTGCATGTTCTACAATGTTTCCTGTTGTTCATTTCTCATATTTTAATGTCATTAAATAAACCACGTATCCACCCTTTAAAGCAACATACAATTGATATCCTGCTAGCTATTTGCATAGGTTTAGCTTCACGTGAGTTAAAATCCCGGTGAGGGTAGCTCAGCCTCATCTTTGCATGGGGTGTGTAGGATGAGCACCACATTTTGAATCTTCATCACTAGAAAATAAATCACCCTGGTTGTCTTTGAGTATAGACTGAGAGATGGATATGTGATTGTTATGGCTAGGTAAAAGCCCATTGAGACGAGCATTTTCTCTGCCAAGGAAGATATGAACTGGACCCACGATAGGACCGACTCTGCTGTAGTACTGGCCTCGCAATTAGAATGTGGAATTTCCACCACTTGCTCAACAGAGCACAGTGATGCGTGCTCACTCGAAGGGTACAGCTTGACGACGTCATGGGCTGTGAAGTCGCGAGCATGGGCCAAGTCCGGCCCCAGGAAGAACCACGAACAGCAGCAGAGCAGGCAGAGGCCGCAGGCAGGCAGTAGAGGTGTCCGCCCTGAGCCCACGTCTCTCGCTAGGGCACGCAAATCTCATTACAGACCTCTTCTGTGGTGTAAACGTTCAATCAATGTTTTTGTCTATTATTATTTTTATTGTGAGTTGTATTTTTACATAAATATAAATTATAGCAACATGTGAGACAGCTGTACTCTTTGTTGGAGGGACTTACACAGTGAAGATGCACGTGCATATTCTAGTTATATATACGCGGTACGTGGCAGGGCTATACACTCATACATTCATAGGTCTTTTGACATATGCACATATTGCATGCTAAGTGGACTGCATGGATATTTATATGTACATATTCTGCATTTAATGACGAGAACAACCAACAACGTTTAGTAACAAAATATATATTTTCAATTACACAGGAAAACTGATATTAGATCTAGGTTTGATCAATTTGCAGTTTGTGATCTCAGAACAATAATAACGATAGCAAGGATGTATATACATATGCCCATACACAGTCTATAAATTTAATCTAACATTCACACAGCACAAATCTATACGCTAGAGTTCTAATTCTGTTAGATCAGTGTATAGATATACAAAATAGATAAATAAATCACTTACCATTTTTATCCATCTTCAAATTGTTGGTCACTTTGTATGCTTTGACGTACCTCCTCCCTACGAGTTTAAAGTCCAACCTTTAAAGTATGTTATTGTAATAAGTGTACACTTATGTATAAACTAGCATGATGTATACGCACTTGCCTACGGCATATTTCTTTAAAAAATTATTTCGGAAACCGATTGAAGTAGCCAACGGATAATTGAAACGGTAATATTTTGTCGTGACAAAGTTGCAATCATATTTTAACCATCGCGACCCTGGACTCTGATCTAATTTATGCCTTTCTACGCTCGGCAGTTCTCAATTGTCCACCTATATATATCAGCTGGGATGGAATGCTCCCGTTTTTTGTGTTCAGGGAGGTGGGGGGGGGTGTGCCGGCAGGGGCTGGCAATTGGCCATAGCCACCAGCATCCTGGCTTTTTTGAGTTGTCCAGAGGGGGCCGCGGTGGTAATTGAAACAGAAATGAGGCCTGCGTCGTGAATTCTCTGCGTTCAGTCCATTTCGTGGTCGAGGGGGGTGCGGACTGTGGAGGCAATGAGACGTTAATATTCCAATTTCGTTCCGGGAACGAGCAAAGGAGGGAAGTGTATAAGGCACAAATGTCAATTCACCTACAGGGTGCCGTGCCCATTGGTGAATGAGAGTTGGCATGGCTCATAATGTGTATGTGCTTCGTCACTTATTGTCAAAGAGTCCGGTAGGCTTTGATACAAAAGCTAGGTTTTATATTTTTGTGGTCGACATCACAGAATTCTAGAGATTGCATATGCAGGGCCTACAATGTACTTTTCTGTAGCGTGGATGTTTGTATTGTCTGTTACCTGCTGAATAATTTAACGGATGATATTGTATACTTTTATCGGTAGCGCAGCATGAATGAGTCTGGAGATTGCTCGGTTGGGCAACCACAATGCTTCGAGCAGCTTATCGGGATCTGTGGGGCTGAGGTTGTCAGCAGGGGGCAGTGCAGCAAAGCGATTGTCCTGTACCATGGTCCAACGTCTATGCTGCACGCCTTCAATCCGTACTGACCATTGTGTGGAGGCTTGCGTTCACATGTATTCAGACAAGCACCCGAAATGAGAATAGGTTTTCCCCTTTTTTCTGGCAACAAAACAGGTGTTAAGATGTTAAAACACCAAACTGAAACCTTTTACAAGGAATCATGTCTGCATTAACCACAATGCTTGTGGTCAGAATGCAAACAAAAAAATACTCTGATTATGAGGTTGTTCCGTCCAGAGACAGCTGTCTCTGGTGTGGACCAATCAGTTTGAAAGTACAATGCATATATTATCAGTGTTTTTTTGTTTGCATTCTGACCACAAGTATGGTGGTTAATGCAGACATGATTCCTTGTAAAAGGTTTCAGTTTGGTGTTTTAACATCTTAATACCCGTTTTGTTGCCAGAAAAAGGGGAAAACCTATTATCATATTTTGGTACTGGCAAAGGAGGTCCCAAGATATAAGCACCCGAAAGTCATCAAGTACAACTTCTCATCCTCTCCTACCTCTATACCTCAAGCCTGAGTAAGGAGGTCTGCCTGAACATGCTAGTCAACACAACACGTTTTTCTGATAGATGGCAAAAAAAAAAGTATGATTTCATCAGGATAAAAATTAGAACCTTCAGAAATATCTTGAAAACTCAGCTCGATCGCTTCGTAGTGAACGATCACGCGACACGTACCAGTGCACGTAACGAATTTCATATTTCCTCTATTGCTAATGAAGAGTGTGTTCGCACAGTGGGCACATTGTGCCGGGCGGAACAACCTTATAATCCCTGCAAAATCGAGTATTGCTGTCCAACTGGGCAGCACAAAAGGGCACACCGTGGACCTTCGGAGATTGGCTTGACGCCTCTTGTGTTGTACCCACGCCCCATCGTTCCCTGCCAAAGCCGCACACCACAGCGAGCGCGGGTCACCAGGAGGTGTGCTAACTCCCACGACAGGAAAGCGTGCAGAGACCGAAAGAGTAACTGGTGGATTGGACAACATATACATATTGACTGTTAAATATATATAACTGGACTTGAGCAGGACATAAGAATCGATTACCAGTGGTCAATGCTAACGATGGAGTGGCAGCCATAGGCTTGAGAGGATGTCGACTGTGGAGACGAGTGATTCAATCAATTGTATACATTTATTTTTATTATTTTATTACTTCCCTTCTACGTGACTTTACCGAAAGAACCAAGAAGATATACATTTATTGTTGGATGTATTCTTGGACCACATGCCCATGAGAGATGGAAGCAGCTTGGGGAGGCTTAATCCAGCAGTAAATCTATCATAGCTGATGATGAATATTCGTGTTCATTGTAAAGTAGTGGTTAGGACTTTAACCAACAGCCATAACATAACAAGAAATACACGCAATTTGGCTTACGCCATGTTCAAATATTATAGGTGTGACAGCTCAGAACATGAATAGGAATCTTAAACAGGATTTCTAAGCAGGACCGAGCCTGCTCAGTACTGCACATGGACCTGGATCCGTGACTATACGAACGTGGGGCTGCAAGGTGGTCAGTAGATGACAGTGCTGCGTGTCATCCACCTACCAATCACTCAATGGTATGGCCAACGAAGGGTCTGCAATGCTATTGCCAATAAAATGCAACTTGAATCACTACCTATGAGATTTTCACTCAAAACTGCTCTAGAGGAGTTGTACACCCCGAGCTGCCACTGAAATTCAGTGGCCTAAAATGCAATGTTTCGCTCCGGATGATCGCTGCAAAGTATGACCTGTGTTTTGATTTAGTGTGCTGATCTTAAAGGTGCATTGAAATATGTTGATACTCCGACTGATGCTCCTGCTGTTATGGAGTGACTCATGCAGCCAGTTATGGCTGCAGAGTTTGGTAGTACATGTTGTTTACGTCGTTTATTGTGAAAATTCGGTCACAATTCCTATTATCACTGTTTCATTTGCTTTTATGCCTTTATTTTGTTGATTTTCGAAAAGTTTTTTGGTTTGGCCATGTTTGTTTGTTGTAGTACAGAGTAGGACTGATGGCCTTAATCTAAGTTGTCTTGTGGTTGTTGTTGTTTGACTTGCATCTCACTGGGATTTTTGCTCACAGTGTTGGTGTACGGTGCTTTTTCTGCAATATTTTGTTGTCTTTTCTTGGATTTTCTGTTTGCACATAGTCACTTTAAGATGTTTTCTTGTTCATGTTTTTGTTTTTTGTTTGTTGCGGTTGCACCCGATTCATGAGCCGAATGGCTCACAGAGCTATACCTAATAAATTAACTTGAACTTGAACGAAGGACCCGGCTGAAAAATTGCTTGGAGACTCAGTGAGGCTTTACTGGGTAAAGACTGTAATTGGTATAATGTATATTCTTGGTTCTTTCGGTAAAGTCACGTAGAAGAGAAATAATAAAATAATAAAAATATAACACAATAAAATTCTCACGACGTTTCGACTGCAACACAAGCAATCATCATCCGGTGTGAAATCCACAGCAAGAAAATTTGAAAAAAGGTATAATGTAATTTTAGTTTATTAGTGGTTGGTGCAGCGCATTGCACTTCATAACCGGCGAAGTTAGTTTGATTCCCAACCATGGCTGACATCAGTGGCGAGTGATTAATGAAGCAGTCTTTATCCAACCCGGACCGACCAGCGTGGTGAAGTAATGGCCAAGTGGGCCAAACAGGGCCCATGACTGACATGGCATGGAGATGAGACCTTCCTCCAGCAGTCGATTGAACGTAGTTGTGAATTATTTGAATTTTAAGACACTCGCCATTTGTTTCGTTTGGAGAAAATATTGCTCTCTTATGGCATCATAGGTAGGGCAATGTTTCTCCTTCTACTGTATGAACCAGGTCACTTGAAGGGCTGTCAAAGGTTGGTGCGTCATACTCTAACACAAAGGCTTGTACTTGTTCAACAAGACATCTGAATGGATACTTCAGATTTGAAGCTTTCGTGACTGCAAGGATTCATATTCTTAGGTTTTTTCGGTAAAGTCACGTTGGTAAAAATTTAAATTAATAAAAGTAAAATAAAAACAAAATAAAAATAAAATGATATAATATAATAAAATATAATCTTTTATTTTATTTTTATTTTACTTTTGTTAATTTTAATTTTTACCAACGTGACTTTACCGAAAAAACCTAAGACTATGGATACTTCACTTTATGATATGATGCCGATAGGACAATTGGCATAATGGGGGGGAAATTACAAAAATATAGCAAAGAAGTTGTTTTTGTTTTAACCCGAATTTTTTTTTTATACTCACTTTAAAATGTTTCTACAGTAACTCTTCAAGCATGACCACATTTAAATGTAAATGTTTAAATTTGTTCAGCTTTTGGTGTTTTTCTGATGTCATGAACAATTTGTTTTCCAGTGTTAATGGGCTGTCAACTGGTTTTAAACAAAGCTTTTATTGTAAGAGTCTCATGTCCAGGTGGTCCCTAATTTTTTTTATATCCTTATACTGTATAATATTTGATATAACACGGTATCGATGTAATTGTATAAACGTGATAAATGGATGCATAGGCATGCTTAATTTCAGTGTAAACAATTGCTATATTCGCGGTAACGCAGTGGTTAGTGTCGTGCGCAATGACCCGCGTGTTTTGAGTTTTATTCCCAACTATGACTAACATCATTGAGCAATTAAACTTGTAATATGTAACAGTTTGCTGCTGCTGTTTGCTGACCCCCCCCCCCCCCCCCCAAATCTTGACCAACCAACAATGACCAGCGAGACGAAGTATGGTGAAACAGCCTCCATGACTAAGACGTAGCGAGGATGCCTTCATCCAGTATTGGATTGACAATTTAACCTTCTACCAGAGTAACCCCGGCTCTCGCATAATGTCCGTGATTCAGTCACTTTTAGTCTGTGTTGATGGTCGCGATGCGGCAATCGACTCATCTCGACGAGCTGTTACACGATGCACTATTCAAAGTAGAATTTTTCGATAACGGATCTTTTTTATGCTATAATGTTTGGCGTTTCGACATCTCGGAGTAGCACTGATTTCGGAATAATTGGTACCTCAGTCTACACCCCTGTAAAAAATAGTGTCCCAGAAATAAAATATTTAATCGCCTCGACCAGTTTGTATTATTTGCTACCCAGGGGTACCGCCATAAGGATCACTTGGGTGTAAATTATTTAATCGTTAATTTAAAACATTTTAAGCTATGTTTTCTTTCATAATAACATTTAAGATACTTTTTTAAGTAAAGTGAAACCTAAACAAAGTCAAGTTTATTCCAGAAATGTTAGCAAATTTTAATTATGTAAAGTACAATCTTGAATTGAAGTGGGACATTGGAATGTTAGTCACAAGTGTACAATGTAACTATCTGGATTCATTACAGATTGTTCATTGTGGTTCATATTTTATATAATATTGCATAGATGGAATTTTTTCGGTAAAATCACGTGACTTTGCCGAAAGAACCAAAGAGTATGGATCCTTGCAGTCACGAAAACTTCAAATCTATAATAGATGGAATAATATAGATGTGGCCTGCGTTAACGTGAGGGTTTTCTTTTATGGTACAGCACAGGAAAACCTTGCCCAACACGGCTTTATCGAACACGTTTTACGGCTTTTGACAATTTACCGAATAATTTAAGTTTGCTGGAACAAGGGCGTGATGTTTCGGCTATACGCAAGTTTGACTTTGCTAACATTCTCATCTCCACGTCCAACAGTAGTACCCTGGGAGTGCTGCATCCGTTTGAAGCTGTGAATGAATGGACTGCGAGAACGATTTATTTACCATGTGTTTTTTTTTCCGTGTGATAATAAAATGTAACAATCAACACGCACCAACTGCACAGGGAAAATAGTCACACATTGCCGCACGCATTTGGCCGTCCACTCGTCGAGGACGTCAGCTCGATGGACGCCTCGGTGGCGAATCATTGACGTTCAAGTGACTGTTTAGGGGCGAGCATCGGGCTGGACATTCAATGTCAGGGGCGAGCCTCTGGGCGTGAGTGCCGCAGTGTGCGAAGAGTGATGGAGACGGGGGAGGGTTTGTGTTGAGGTGAAATTGAAAAATAGTGTACACACAAGACATGGAGAGCAACGCGGCATCATGTAGTGAAATAACAAGGGCAGAAATCTTGTACTGTAGAATTGTTTAAATAAAGAGGAAGGGGGTGATCAGTTCAGACCAAAGAAATAAAAACCCTATTTGGCCATAAGGCCTATGATTTGTCAAACGCAGTTTTGCCCAACAAAGTGTTTTCCAGGAACATAACTCCCGCGTTTGACAAGGTCTGTCTTATTTTATTATTTAAGTGACATAATGGCAGAATTGAAAATAAAATCCCGTAAATGCTGTCAATCAGTTAAAATATATATATATTTTGGCCATAAAAGGAAGTAAATGTGATTATCAGGGCAAAGTTCTAAAAGATTGATAATTAATATACACATCATGTGACCACTTCCTGCAGTGACTTCACAAGTTCCCCACTCCAACATCACAGGGCTTGGTCTCATGATAATCATGACTGTCCCAAGACATTCTTAATATTGGGCCACTTGCACATATTTGGTGATTAATCAACATGTGCCTTTTTGCTTGATCAATCTTGCTAATAACTGTTTCTACCGACAAAGCAGTGGCATAGCTATGGAGTGTGCACGTGATGCAACTGCACTGGGCCCTCGTTTCCATGTTATGAAAATGGAGGTAATTGGACAAGGGGATCCATATCATTGCTTCCATCAGAGCTCATGTCAACCATTCTGCCAACCACACTTCCATAAAGTGTTTTCATTTTTACTTCTACCATAATGTCATCTCAACTGTCTGTCTGGTCTGGAGAAATGTATTCCTCTTTCCACACTCAACAATCATCATGAAACACCCTATTCTTCAAACTCTCCAAATGCACGTTTTCTAAATATTTATATGTAAGTGTCTTGAAATACCATCTTATTCTGATGCTTGATATAGTAAATGCAAATTGGCTTGTATTGTAACTGTATTCTTTTGATATTTTTATTCAGGCTCTGATAGGATATGGCCATGAATCTAAAATTCGATCTATAATTTGCCTCAACAAGAAATAACCTTGGTTTATCCTTAGCTTACGTGCTTATTAGTCTCAGATGCGGCCTGCATGTAGGGAATACAACTTCAGTAAATTAACAATGAAAATCAAATTACCGTCTTGTGTTACTATAACCCACTGCTGGATAAAGGCCTCTTCATGCCACATCGGTCATGGGGATGATTTAACTTCAGCACGCTAGTCAGTGCCGGTAAGTATAGGAGGGACCCAGGATTGAGTCAGACATCACTCACCACTGATGTTAGCCATGGCTATGAACTGAACTCAGGAAGTAAGCATCATTGCTTTGCTTGCTAATCATTGCACAGCTGTTTGTTATTAATGTTTGCCGACACATAAGTATTGCACATGTTTACTTCGCTACATTGTTGCCGAAGCTTGGCGCATGCTATATTGCTTAAACACCAACGTATCTGGAGTTGTTGTGCATACAAAAAATTCCAATGCGTCAATGACACTTTGTTTTTCTTCATGCACAAATGAGAGATTAGCTGTTTTTTTATGGACTTATATCTTAGTGCCACCCACATGGATCTGCTTGTCTCACTTATATGCATGTGTGGTCAAACGGATAAGGCTTTTTCAATATGTATTCAATGAGGAAATTACACCCTTTGACAGGAAGCCTTTAAGTAATTGTGATGTGTCCCACCAGCTTGGCCAGAGGCACAATTGCGAAATGTTACTCGGTTTCTTCGCACATAATATTTATTTAAATACTTTCTGCGAAATTGTAAGCTTGTAACTAGAATAAAATGATATAATTACACCTTTTATACTTTTCCTTCCTGACAAGAGCAACCAATGGGACTGGAAGAACTCTCGCCACCTTTGTCCGTTCTTTGCCGGCTTTATTGCTGCATGTCTCTAGCACATTCATATTGCATGTACAGAAACACTGCGACATTTTCCTGTACATACATAAGGAACGGCTTAGCATATCAATTCAGTTAATGGGCATGCAAAATTAAGACTGTGTGATTTTAACGAATACAGAAGTTTCGCAACTCAAATTCACATCAGTGGAAAGCTATAACCAAGTCACACAGAATTCGCCCAATCTCGTCACATCTTGGAAGCTAAGCAGCTCTCAGCCTGGTTAGTACTTGAATCAGTGAACCACCACATCATGTGCTCTGTCAGCATGGGCAAGTATGGTTAAATAACTCCCAGAACCCACATGGCATAGGTGAGGCGTTGTCCAGATGCAGATTGACAAAAGAGCCGTACATTATGGCTAGGACAATTACCTTATGACTATGCTTAAATTCTAGCTCAGAACTCTGAATCTTAAAACATGTCAGATCCATTTTATGGTAATTATATCACCCCATAACTTTTGTGCATGCTCAATTGATCATGTGAATCATTATGGAAGTCCTTATTCATGTTGGTCGAGTAGCACGGCTGCGTGAACGCGAGGAATGACGCACAAGTAAGGTGTGGCACACGTGTGACATGGGAACAGGCTATGTGCATGAATAGACATGTGAAGCTTGAGATGGGTAGGTGATACTAAGACACGTCATAACAGGGAAGTGTGGAAACATCGTGATAAGCTTAAGACCACAGGCCGATGTCATTAAGTTAAACAATCAAGGGAAATAAATGTTAATTATTTCTTTTTTCGTTTAACTAGCATTTTGAAATTAGTCAATACTTTACGATGGATCAATACACCACGGTATGGGAAGTCAAACTATCATCGTATGGAGAGACTGACCTCTGCCAAAGGAATGTGGAATTTCCACTACTGACCCAGGACAACAAGCAATTAATCAATGCACATTCGATTATAGAGCGTCTTTGTTTACTGAATTAATACTTTAAGCACAAGCACATTACTTATTGTGGCATCGTCTCGAATTATATAATTACACACCATTACAAATTGATTGTGGTTGCACAAGATATCTTCTTGCACAGAAGATGCCACCCATTGTTGCGTGAGTTTGTATCACTGCCACACAATGCATCTGTGCTCGGTAGTTGCGGACTGGGGAATTTCCCAACTTTCTAAAAACCCGGAATGGAGTTGTTTTTCGAGGAATGGGTCTTTAAAAAAAAGTGTCAGATTTAAGACGCTAAATCGTGAAGGGGGAAAAAGCAAAGTGTACTGTTAATCGTGAGTGTAAACGTTTCACATGTTCACCGCATAAGTTATGCAGACAATGTTGCATTATGTTGTAGTTAAAAAAAAACAGGCAGGAAAATAGCAGTGGAAGAAGCTGCAGAAAATAATAAGGGATACATAAACTCATAAAATATAGCTCTCTCAACTCCAGATCCCACGTACTGGCTGGACCATATCTAAACCACCGTATCACTATAACACAACACCAGATAATTTTCACAAAGTCTCATGATGCCTGCAAAGTAAACACTGGCACAAACTTGGATCACATGAGAAATGTTTTACTTCCACTTATATCCCCTCCAACCGGTATCCCTTCCCTTCTCCCATTTCTCCTGTTGCATTATTATAAAGTGCATCGTCAACATCAGCAGGTGTGATCTATCCACTGCTGGATGAATGCCTCCCCAAGTCATGACAAACCCTCATTATGGTCCTGCAAGACAACAATCAGTGCAGAGATTATAATCTCACCGAGCCATCTCTGCGGCTATTATACTCTTGGGTGCATTCCACTTTTTGTGAATACGGCAACAATTGCTTCTTTTTCGCTACATTCTTTCAAATTGTTGTTCGTGACTATTCACAATTTTTTTAGTATAATTTTTTTAAAGATATACAATTTATTTTTACAAATATGGTATAAATATTCCATCCAGAATTTCTAGCATGTGCTTATCAGTTTATTCTAAGATGTGTGCTCTGTTATAATTTTGAGTAAAAAAAAAACCAAGATAAACACATACGCTTTTTTTTACGCATCTCCTTTCTTGGTAAAGTTATCGGTTCAGAAATTGCGTAATAGACAGATGGAGGATGTGGCTTTTCAATTCCAGGATCCGTGTTTTTCGCCTGACCGCATCGTTCGGCCCCGGAATTTCCCATTACAGGGTCGAACTTCCGACAAGTGGAGGGGAGCGACAAGACGGCGTGAGACCGGGCGGGTATAAATATGGGCGTCAAGGTAATCGGCTCAATCAGAAGCCAGAAGGCGAGTAGAGATCACAAACTCTTCCCTGCCACTAATTATCAGAGAAGTAAAGACAGCGATGACGATGAACGCCAAGCTCCTTGTCGTCCTTCTCGCCGTGGCGCTCTGCGTCGGACACTCACAGGGTGAGTTCTTTTACAACTTTCGCGTTAAAGTTACCCGACTGGTTAACGGAGGCTCCGTCACACCCGAACGATACACGGGAATTTGACTTTTAAAAGTTTGATATTCATGTCTGTTGATAAATATATATGTAGGACAACAGTTTCATGAGAGTTTTGAAGCATACACTTTAACAATAAAATGTATGTTGTGATTTCTCGGCTCTGTGGCTCGGCTTGTGTTAATGTTCGACCCTGTTTTTCATTTATTGTTGCAGCTATGTCCGTATTCGGGGGAGGACGGTGTCAGTGCGTACACGTGATATCCAAGTTCATCCATCCCAAGCATTTCCAGACAATGGAGGTCATTCCACAGAGCTCCAACTGCAAGAATGTGGAAATCATGTAAGAGAAACCCTCTGTTTCACCTGTGGTTAAACGAATTCTATTGTACATACATATTGATAAAGCATACTGATGGTGAGTGAGTAAAACAAAACATGTCGGGATATATGTAGCTATAATACAATGTATTCAATCATCATGAACATAATTTCTTGTTACATTATATTACGTGTCCCAAAGCAACGTGCAGGTCTATGCGTAACATTCAATACTGTGAGTGCATCTCATGATGTGTCCTATTCTGTCTTGCAGTGTGACGATGAAATCCACCAACAACCAGATCTGCCTGAACCCTGATGCCCCCTGGGTGAGAAAGGTGATGAGCCACATTTTGGACGGGTGAGTCACAACACCCGTGGTCACTGATAAACTCCCAAGGGCCTTCTTACAGTCACCCACAATATGGGTTTCAGTATCTACCACCGTATGGTGACTGACACGGCGTTGGGAGGTCTTCACCCAGCAGTAGATCTACAAAGGGTTGCAAATGATCAGTATTGTATCTACCGCTGTAAACTGGATCACGTGTATTGTAAATATCTCTTCGTGGGTGCTTACAATATGCAAGGGTTGAGTCTGAGAAAAATTGTACCACTGATACACATTTAATAGCAATTTCTTTAAAAAAAACCATAGATTGCATTATAGTATGATTTAAAGCTTTCGTGACTGCAGGGACTCAACTTCTTGGTTCTTTCGGTAAAGTCACGTAGAAGGGAAATAATAAAATAATAAAAATAAAAGATTATAAAATAAAATTTTTCACCTGAGGACGGCTGCTTGCGTTGTGGCCGAAACGTTGTGAGAATTGTATTTATTATGTTTTATTTTTATTCTTTTATTATTTCCCTTCTACGTGACTTTACCGAAAGAACCAAGAAGATAGATTGCATTTTCAAATACTGTTTTGAATATTTCTCAACAGCTACTGTGCTTGCTATGTTTTACTTGCCGTGTCTGGGTGCTGAGTGACGTGCGTTGCTCTGCTGTGTTTTTTCCAGGGCTCAGACACCCAAACCCACGCAGTGAACCGCACTGAGCACTCCAAGAGAGACTGCCATCACCAAGCCACCAGGCGCCCGACGCACGAGCTGAAGGCCATCCACCCCCCATCCTTGTTCTTTGTCAAGATCCCAGTCACAGTTGGAGCCAGTTTATACTCCAGATGTGTAAAGACAATGTAACAGTGGCGTAAAAATGAGCATGTGAACTCTTGTCACTCTCCGTTAAGTTATTAACAAAGATTCAAAATGTGTATATGTTAAATTATACATTTTTCATATTTCTAGGTTACTTGAAACCTGTGTCAGCACTTTAACCATTTGTATTTAATATTTTGTAACAGCGCAGCCCAAATATCTAAACAAAGATTAAAGTATTATGATTGTTGAAATTAATGATGGGGTTATTTAAAATATGTATTTATATATTTATTATGGTGAACATTATGTGTTCAGAAATTCATGTTTTCATGCTTTCAATGTTTAAAAAAAAGTATTGGTACTCTTATTACATTATATATTTTAAAAAGTATTGTTTATCTGCAGGGACAAACATGCATCAAAGTGAATGTCGCTTCAACTATGTTAAGTTATTTTGTATTAATAAAAACATTTCTAAAACATATTCTGTATGTTGTATATATTTCATGAGTTTTTGGATGACTGCTATCAATGACACAAACTTCATATATTTTTTTAATGAGTGCTCATAAACGTACAGTTTAATTGGACCCGCTGTGGTTCTGCTAATGTGGTGAATGAGTTAATCTTTCAACCAGCCCCTAGGATTGGCTGTTTATTGACCACAGTAAATAATGTGAAATGTAAACTGTGGAGAAATTATTCACAAAACGTGAAGTGAAACTAACATTTTAACAATAACTACTTACACTGCTTATATACAACTGGAGAGTTTTACTTGCATATGATTCACTGGTGAGATTTTATTTAATAGTAACTACTCCCAATTTATAAAGCATCGAAATACAAGAGCATCTCAAGGCACCGCAATGAGCAACCATAAACGAACATTACACACAAACAAAATGCGCACTAAATGCACGTCACGAAATAAAGCAATAAAACAACACAAGCTGGACATATTGAGGGGTGCCGTGACACCCACACAAAAGGCCTCTCAAAACACCGCAACCGCCACGCTAACGATGTCAGCGTGTCTGCTTGACACATGAATACAAACATCTCTATTTCAAAATGACTTAGTGGTTGGCCCAAAATATGACTCGCACGCTTCATGTGTTCCCATTAATATTCCACCGTACGAATGTTGGAATGCACTCAACGTTATCTGCCACTGCCTTGGCACTGATGGCAGAAGCTGAAGTGGGATTGTGGCCTCCTCGGTCACAGCCACAGCTCAGAAGCCTCTGAATGTTTGTAGCAGTACACAACCAAGTACTGTATTAATTTAAGACAGATGTTTTGGGCTTGTTCGCTGCACAACAAGTTAAAGGAATTTCCCAGAATGTATGTGAGAGCTTTAACCCAAGTAACTATCCCACTCGGAATGTGCTCTCACTTATGTTTTTTTCCCGAAATTAAAACGGTGCACCCAATCCCGGCGTTTTCCTGGATCAGGGGGTCACGGGGAAATTGGAGCTACTCAGTTTTCAGGCCTAATAGATATCACGGCTCAAATACCTAAACAATTATTACAGCACAACATCGGGTGTTAATAGGCATGCTACAACTCACTATGGCCGTGCCACGAGTACTTGTATTAATAGACGTGCGATTATAATTTCAGGAATACAAGATGAACATTAACACCATGCAGACAATTGATGCTTGTTTAATGCTTTCATGTTGCAACCTTTGAAGTTGTAAAGTTGCATTACGGCTAGTTTTTCTGCAATTGTGTGCAAGATATGTGCACGCATCACCCACACTTGATACTTTCTTTAAATCAATACCTACACCAATAGAGGCAGCTCAGCAGTAGAGCGAGTGGCACGGATTTTGAAGGTTGCAAATTCAAAATCTGATTGAGAATCGACTGAGCCCATTATCACTCCAGGGTCGATAAGATAAGTACCACTTCGTGGGGAAGTCAACAGTACCAGGCGATGGTGGCGCACGTCTGTAATCCAGTACCGTGGAGGCATCGAGGGTTGGTGGTTCGCAAAAATGTTGTGAAACTCATCTCCTGTGGGCATTGGAGTGCCTTATACCCTGGCCTACCAAAACACAGTACAGCAAGTGGACTAATTTCAATTTATTTCCATCTGTACGGAAATGGAGTGTTGTCCCCTCGTGCATGTGGGTTTTCTCCGGGTGCTCTGGTTTCCTCACACTTGTATTAACACTCGTCATTAATTGGCTGGAAAAAAAATTGTACGATAAAAACCCAACTCATCACCCTCCCTAGAAAGGGCCATCTGACTGAGTGTGGCTCTCCTGAATAAATAAGCAAATTATTAAATGGATAGACTTACCCCGGCCTATTGGAATGTGGAATATCCACCACTAGCTGAGGGCTATAAAGAGGAAATAAGCAGAAATTAACTGACTTTTTATTTTTGAATGTAATATATTTATTTTTCATCACCAACTATCTTTAACCAGCATGGTGAAGTATGGTCAAACAATTCCCATGACTAGTGCAGCAAGCACAGGCTTTTACTCTGCAGTGGGTTGACAAATTTGATGACAATTATTGTATAATTTGTTTTATTGTGCTTAGGTATTAAATTCCTCATGCGATTTCATAACAAACTAACCAGCAGGCAGATGTGGTATGTTAAAAAGTATAAAACCTCTCTGTATGCACCTCATATATAAAACAACGTGTTAATGCGTTTAAGGGAGATTATTTAAAACATCTTATTTGACCCAGAGTTTCTTGTGAAGTACCTATAGTAAAAATAAAAAAACCAGCAGCAATGGAAATCCCCCACATCACTGGAACTTTTAGGTTATTATTTCAAGACTATTGTTCTAAGCTCCTCCAGCATCTTATAATTAATTACTTCTTTCCACATGGAGAAACTCCAAGATGTGCGCTGGAGAGCAGCCACGGCAAACAAACTGCCCTGGGAAATTCCGGTGATTTGGAGAAATCCAAAAATGTGATGGGGGACTTTCGGAATGAACGGATGCAACATCCTGTTCAAGGCACAAGATACACATTTATAAATGTGTGAATGATTTAAACTGCTAGCACCAAATAACAATCATGAAATATTTTATAACGGATATGGCTGTCTAATCAATACTCAAATGTCAGTCTTGATCATCATAAGCCATGATCGATTCACTGCTGGATGAAGGCCTTCCAAAGTCATTGGGATCTCACAGTCCAACGATGTAACAATCCAGCTAGCACTTGCACACGAGCTGATTTAATCACTCTACCTCGGGCATTCCAACTTGGCTTTCACTCCATTGCGATTCTCGACCACCAGTAATAATCATCCCTTCCAATTACATGCAATGCCAAATCCTATGTTTTTTATGGACAAATGTTGAACCGCCTAATTTATTTTGGCAATTGCTTTGTATTCTTGTCAAATATTTATACTTTGTTTGTCAATGCTCACTGATTTCACCAACTCGCACGGCGTGGTGAAGGTATGTGTATATAAACCCCGATGTACATTTGCTCACTTTCGTTCAATAATTGTTTGGGGAAATTCACTGCGTGGCTCCAGGTTCAGTGGATCTGGTGCCATATTTTGTTTGCTGCCGGTGGAATTCCCGTTGTTGGAGAGGGGGCTATGGAGATGAGGCCCAGAGAGACGGGGGCTGGGGTAAGTGTGCACGAGGCCGAGGGAGGGTTTGCGTCACCATGCAGAACAACATAAAAGCCACGCTCTGAGTGCTCCTTAGCCAGACACAGCAAGAAGCATCAAGATAATTTGCTCCAAGACTCAACTGAGATCCAAACGAAAATGAAGCTTGCAGTGTCTTCACTTCTCGTGTGCCTGGTGCTGTGCATGCAATACTCTCAAGGTACTTATTAGTGTATGCTCATGAATTCAGAGGGGTTTTTTTAAAGATTGTATGTAGAAAGGGATGTTCTTGTAGTATGTACCTGCATATGTGTTGACTTATTGAGGCGAGGCGGTCTGTTTCTGCATATGCACTGTTGTCGACCATTGCTTTTAAAAACATGAAAATAAATGTGATAATATCTGTCGTGATGTATGAATCAGTAATAGATTGAATGCGACTTAACATTAGAAGCTTAATGGGATCAAAACACTATAAACATGTATCAAGTATATGACCTCAATGCGAATTGAAGTCGTGTTATTTGTTCAAAGCTACAAACGATACATTCGTAAAATGAAACGTGTAACCAGAATCTCCCTTGTCATGCGTGGGGTGTTTTAGCTGCGCCAAGCCCACGGTGCCTGTGCATTACGACATCGTCAAGTTTCATCCCCGTGAAGATGCTGAGAAACATTGAGTTCATTCCCAAGAGTTCGCGCTGCAACAAAGTGGAAGTCATGTAAGTGAGAGCAAGCTCGTGGTCGTCGTTATCATCCGTGGCCAATCCACTGCTAGATGAAGGCTTCGGCGATCACAATCGTGCAGTGTAACAATCCACCTTAAAATCCGGTGAACCAGGCCACTCTTGCAAACGAGACTATATTGGTCTCGTGAGGTCTCACCTGGTTAAACAAAATCAACTTAAGACCCGCACATATCCTGAATTCACCACTCCCCATCTCTCTCAATTGGACGTCCAGGCGACGTCTCACCGTGCGCCATTAGATGAGTTCAGCTTTAAAGCCCTCGGCGGCTTCATGGGGAGTTGTCATGAGAGGGTCACATTCCGACCTTTTGTCACGGGTGACCCCTGGATTTGGGAAGGCAATCGTGTGTTTATCCACATACTTCAGGCTCATAATTCAGTGCTGGATAAACAGAGCACCCAGCTCCTTGTCTCTCCCAGCACCCTCGTCTGCTGAGCACTGCCACTGTTGCGCTGCACGGTGTGTTGTTGCACTGTTTGCACCCGTGGGAGCCTCTTTCATGCGACTTCTTTTTTATTAAGGGGAGAAAGGAAGTATCTCGTATAAGTGTTGTAAAAGCTTAATCTGATTTTTAGAAAGTATTTGAAAGCAGATCATTATCTCTCATGGATACAACAATTAAGAGCAGGCTTGTATTTTAATTGTGAATGATATTCGTAAGAAAAAAAAATCCAAATTAGTTTTTTGTCAGTATTGTATAATTAGGTCAAATGTGCGATGTCTCTTAAAAAGATAACACACACTGTACAGTAATGAAAGGCTACAATGTGCTCATAAAATGCCTGATGTTTTTTGTTGACAGTGTGACCCTCAAAGCAAATATGGAACAAAAGATCTGTCTGAATCCAGCTGCCCCATGGGTGAATGCCCTCGTCAGCAAATTACTCAACAGGTAAAGCCACACGACATCACATTGCCCTAACAACACTCTTCAACATAAAATGCCAACAAAGAAGTATGTTCCGAATATTACGTAATATGTCCCAGCCCTGAATCAGGGCTCAGGGCCTCCCTATGCCATGCGGGTTTTGGGGGTTGTTTGACCACATTTCACCACACTGGTCAGTGCGGGTTGGTGAAAACGAGGAGCAATAGACGTGAGAGCATAGAAGTATACAGTCATACTTTACAACAATGGATTTTGCTACACTGCCCTCTGCTGCCCACCACATAGTATCAGTCTATGTCAAGCTCTTGTGTTTGGTGGTTACCCATTATTCATCCAAGCACTGTCTAGGCTCAACCTTGCTTAGTTTCGGAGATCTGGTACATTCTGGGTGGTTTGGTCAAAGGCACGATGTGAATTAGAAAAATAAGTAATATTTAAAAATACTTTTTTTAAATGGCAGAACTCCACGACTCCAGGAAGTGGCCCTGAGGCTTGCCATAAAGTAAGGGACCGTGGTCATTTACAGCCAACGTTAGTTGAGCGTGGACAATTAGACCCAAGCCGAAACATAACATATAAAAATAATGTTTAAAAATACTTTAAAAAATTATATAATGTAGTACTGTCATCAGTATGACATAAGTATACCAAGTTTGCAGTCGATACCACATTGGGAAGTGGGTTTAAATTGAGTTACAAGATTTGAGGATATGACATCGACAACAGACAGAGTTAAATAAAAGCGTATAAAAAACGTTATTCTTTTTTAAAATTGGCAATTGGTTAAATGAAATTGAAGGACACTGTGCTCGAAAATGCAAATTAAGGTGAAATGTGTTTAGACTGCAATGCATCATGGGACATACCTATAATACCACGCAATGCTAAGCTGGATTGTCGATATCTGTGCAGAAATGTGGGTGATATATCAGGCAGATTAAGATACTGAAAGTTTGAAAGATTCCATCACGCTGGCACTTTTGATTCTTGGCTTGAAAGAATCTTAACAAGAGAAAAATGTACTTTTAAAAGTGGATTGTATTTGCATTTGTAACAATTTATGTTGAGGAAATGTCGAAATGTGGTTTAAATCGAAAAATGTACAAGTCAGGCGTGACTGGCTGCATTACTGAAAGTTGCATCACGATTACGGGAAACGTCATGTCAGTGTCATTCATTACTCATAGTCATCATAGCAAATTAACGATCAACAGTGATTTGTTAATCCACTAGCAGAAGAAGGCCTCCTTGCGCTGTGTTGGTCGTGGGGTTACCATGCTTCACCACGCTCAGCAGTGCGGCTTGGTGTAGAGAGTATTACAGTATATGCTTACAAGTCTTTTCTAACGTTTACAAATATTTTCTTCCCAGGTCCCAGACGTCACCCCATCGAAAGTGAATGATATCTTACTTGAAGCTCACCGAAGATTTCGTGAAGAGCAGAATATATAAGGAAGCATCGCAGCCTGACTCAGTGGTTATGATCACAAACAAACTTGAGCAAAATTGAACATGCTATAAAGTATATGCTTTTTTGTGAAGTTATGGGTGGTAGATCAGATGTTTAATGATGGCAAGTAAGGTGGCAGTCCCTATATAAGGGGCCTTAGAACGGTGGCTTGTTATGAGCCAGAGCTGTGAAATATTTGACATTCCTTTAGCTAATTCTTTTGGAAGAGTCGTTTGAATGGCCAATGAGATACTCAATTATGCATCCCTATTTTTGGATACAAAAATTGTATTCGATTCTATCTGAATTGACTAATACTGGCAAAACATTCAGATATTTGATTTAAATTAGCCGCATGTTAAAAAGTTAAACTTTGTAAAAAAAAATGTATTGCTTATTTCTTTTAAGTTATTTTTTTGGGTGGGATGCTGCCCCAATCTTTTATATTGATTGTGTGTGCATTTCGTGGTCGATGGTGTATATTTTGTGAGTGTTTTGTGTGTGTTATGATTGTATGTATGTTGAACATCTTTTGCACCATACGTAGCCAACCGTTCAATACAGACCAGCCTCCACTGCGCTATTGCACGTTGTCCTGTGTGTGTTCTTAGGTTTTTAAAATTAAAATTAATAAAAGTAACTTTTATTAACTTTAATTTTTGACCTACGTGACTTTACCGAAAAAAATCTAAGAATATGAATCCTTGCAGTCACGAAAGCTTCAAATCTAGAATCCTGTGTATGTATATGCAATTGTAACGAGGCTTGCTACTGTGATGCAATTATTTCCAGTAACCGCCATGGTGATGTCTCACCATGATGGTGCATGGTAACTTGGTTCCTGGAATATTTGCACTGAAAGTTGAATCCTCAGCTTCAAGCTTAGACTGCAGTTTAGTCTCGGGGCGTCACTGATGCTTACTTTATTGAGGGCGATATTGGCACGTAAAATATATATTGGTTGATTGATTGACTGTGAGTCGAACATTCATCGTGATTGGTATTGTTCAAAGTAAGGATGGGCACTCAACTTAAGTTCCTAACCATGAAATTCACGTCTTTGTTTTGCAGCCCTTTAAATTACTTCGTGTGCGTGAATGTCCGTCACTTTTTGTGTTCATGTAATATTTTATATTTATATAAGAGGAGGCCGCACCTCTGATTAGCACGGTTGGCTACATACGGTGTGAAATAAGTTAAACCTACATACACAAAGAAGAACGTTTATTTTTTTTATTTGGAGCATCAGTACAGTATTTTAAGTCATGATTGTAGTTGAGATATGGGTCTCCTTCGGAGGGAGATGTCGGTCTCTAGCCCTATGACAGGTGCATGGGCGCTAATCGACCAGAATGCCGAATGTTACATATTGTTTTCATGAATGTCATTTACGTCCCAGTACAATACCACTTTCAATAACTATGAATTTTCTTAAGATTCTGAATGCAACTGCATCTCAAAAACACTGCACAGAAAAAAGTGGGCATTTTTATTCTCTAGACAGAGGATATCAGTCATAGGAAGAGGAAAGGGGGAAGGTCTTGAAGGCCTGGACATTATTGGGGGATTGGAGTTCCAGACCATGCCGAGTGTTTTGTCAAATCCTCGCTGTGCTTGTAGTCGTGTATCAGCGACACCTGATGTAGGCACAGATCGATATTGAAGCGTACACGCAGGCTTCATACATTTCGTAGGGCGTTTTACATCTTCAACGTTGTAAATGCAATCTCTCTTTGGCGAAACACTTTGAGCTGGTTTCCATATAGGAAAACAAAGTATGCCAGGTATCGTGTACGTTCAATGAAAAGTGTGTATTCATACAGTATTTAAAAGTTGACACCGGTTACACTGTAATTAATAAAACAAACTAATAACCTTTTTTATTGTATATGTATGTGAAAATATCATGTTCAATTGTCTCACTGTATTATTTTATGTTTTATGTCATAAGACTTTTTCAAAGACAATCATTGCTACGGGGCTGATTTTCTCGTGGAATATATCCGGGCTGCCCCCACCCCCCAAAACCCCAACCCCCTTCTCCCCCTGTCCCCAGCCAGCTGGGGTCGAGGGTTAAAATTCATTTTCCAGAGCTCCATCGTAAACAAAGCCCTGTTCTGCTGATTCTCATTTTCCAATAAACCGTCCAAATGTGATCTGTTGACTGTGTGATGTTTCTTGGAAACGATTTCATTGTTGGAGGCAATGATTGGTGGATCGCGCTGAGAGTGGTGAAACTTCCAAACTCACTGCGGATGCGAGGTGGGCACGAGATGGCACCACAGCAAATTGATTCTTGAATTCTTGTGGAGACTTGATTGTAGTTCTGTTTCCGTGTATAATCCAGTTTTATCTCGCGTTCTAAGTTGTACCCAATTAATCTCATGATCAACTGAAACTGCCTACATTTCACATGAACAGCCACTGTTAATCAATGCATATACTGAGTTTGGACCGCACCCAGCTAAGTGGTACAAGCTTATAGCGAGTTCCAATTTTAAAAGAGGTATTGCCCAAAAATGGTGTCCCAACACACACCGTGTCGGTCATAACCGGTGCCGGATTAAGCTAGTGCGGGGCCTGTCGCATATGTTATTAAGGGGCCCTAAAAACAACACGTAAATATTAAAACACATAAATGTTTAACTTGCATATTAAACTAATTGTATTTTTTCATTTGATATATAGCCAGACAATACGACAAATCGCTAACCTTAAACACCCAGTCGTTCATAAAAGTTGAAGGCAGTATAGTACTATGGTAATAGAGCAAGTGCAGAATCACTGAACCGGAATTGATAGCTTGAAAGCATTTAGCGCGGGGCCTTTGAAAGCGCAGAGCCCGTAGCATATGTAGCTACTTTTTCCACGAGGATAATCCGACACCTGCATATACTGAGTTTAGACTGCACCCAGCTAAGTGGTACAAGTTTAAAGCGAGTTCCATTTTTAAAAGTGGTATTGGCTAGAAATGGTGTCCATCCACACACCGTGTTGGTCATAACCATACTTCACCACGCTGAGTGTTAGTGCGTGAAGCGGGTGTACCAGGATAGGTTCAGCCATCACTCGCCACTGATGATCGGCCTGTGTTGGGGATTCGGATTCGGCTGCGTGGATTCCTCGTTCGTCCGCAGTGCATTCAACACTGCCCCCTAATGGCAAATTTCGTGAATGCGGCCAATGGGCGAGAGACTCCGCCAGGGGGCGCCACAGCCCCACAAATTCGCTCACGTCCGCCTGCCCGCCCGCTCTGTGGCAGCCTCGGTTGTAATGGGAACTGCATCTCAAAGGGTTTGCTCTTCACTGGCCAAACGAAATCACGACTTAAAATGTGCTCGCTAACAGCACAGGACTTAAGTCCGAACGGTGGCTGTTGTCTTTACGCACCCTGAGCAACAGGTAGGGGTCACAGACGAGAACGAGCAAGCAGAGGTAACCACCGCCAGTTTACAACGACTTGCGCTTAACCCGTGAAAGCTGTGGGTTTGCCAAACATTTACATGTATACTTTTTGGTTCTTTCGATAAAGTCACGTAGGTAGACAAAATAAAACAAACCACGACGTTTCGATCGCAACACAAGCAATCCCCATCAGGTTGAACAACCACAGCAAGAAAAAACGCTGAAGTAGGCGAGATAGCTGGAGTATGAATTCCTGCAGTGACGAAAGCTTCAAATCAAGATTATTTACTCGTATATTTAATCATCAGACAATAAAGTGTGTTATCACGTATCGCCAAGTGCCATTATTGCAGGTTCACTAATTGTGGGCGTCAGGGGCGGTTTCTTCTTTAGGGCGATTGGGCGACGCACCACCAATGTCATTGAACCACAGAGTCACGCTAGCCGTCACTGTGCCTCTGGATATAGTCCAATCAGCGTCATGTCACGTTCTGTGGAGTACCGCCTCTTTTTGGGCGATTTCACTCCGGCTGAGAATCGCCCCGAGTGGCCCCATAGACTTACATTGAAAGATGTTTTTTTTCGAACGGGGGGCGCTGCAATGCATTCTCTATGGCTTCCGGGAGGGCAAGCCCTAACGTGCTTACGTCATCATACGTGCTTACGTCATCATACGTAAGCACGTTTCATCCAACAATATAATTTGTGGCCACCTAGTGGAATCTTTAATAAAAGAAACTAGAGTGGTTTGTTTTAATAGTGAGTATAGAAACAAACAAGATGTATTATAAGAGTCACTTTATTTTTCATTAATATTAAAGAAGTGAAGTTGCCTTTACATGCTTAAGCTGTTAATTTATCCATTGCATGGGTGGACCTTATCCTTATCAATCATCCAGACATTTGCCCCCCCTGAGAGATTTTGCAGGAGCCGCCACTGGTGGGCGTAATGTAAAGTGTGGTCCTGGTTGAGCCATCGGTCCAAACATGGCTTATGGGTCCCACCCAAGGTGGCGAATGCTAACAATGATTTTCGCGTAGCATTTTCTAAGTTACAAATAACTATGATAGCAAGGTCGCAGTGGTAGCTATTTATGAGAAACAAAGAGGGTACCCGTTACTGTAGTTTAATCGCGAATATATTTCGTGGAAAAAGAAAGAAACTACACGTAATGTGACATGAAACACAACGGCAAATGAAAATAAATATGAAGTGTTTCTAGATTTGAAGCTTTCGTGACTGCAAGGATTCATACTCTTAGGTTTTTTCGGTAAAGTCACGTAGGTAAAAATAAATAATAAAAATCTATAATAAAATTGTATAAATAACAATAGAAATAAAATAATAAATCACGACGTTTCGGGCGCAACACGAGCGTCCGTCATCAGGTGGGACAACCACAGCACGAAACAAATGCTGAAGTGGGCCCAAAACGTCGTGATTTATTATTTTATTTCTATTATTATTTCAATCATTTCATTATTTATTATTTCTTTTTCTTTTTACCTATGTGACTTTACCGAAAAAAACCTAAGAGTATAAATATGAAGTGTGTCTGTAAAACAGTGTGTACGCTAAGCTCTCTGCCCGTGGTGGATACAGGGTAGCATTTGCCACCCTAAGTGGTAGCGACAAAAACCCATCCAGGGTGGCTCAAGAGCTTGAGCCCTTCCAAGGTGCCACGATTGCATTCGGGAGCTCTGACGTTCGTTTTTGGGGTTGCTGCCGCGTGCTGAGCTTGATGCCCGGCGTTTTGTTCCACGTGCTGGCAACTTTTTTTAGGAGCTGAATTAATTCCCGAATGAGCACTCAGCACCTCGAAGGAGCTCTCCGATGCGTTTCTTTGGGGGTTGCTTGTTGTTCGGCGTGGAGCGAAACGTCGGACGTCATACCGAACAACAACACGGTAGGTACATCCTGAGATCACCATTTCGGGGAGCCCTCCCATGGACAGTATGTTTAATCAAGTTACGTCCACAATAGCCAGTTGTTATGGTTGTATTTTTTTGTCACAGAGCAAAGAAAGATTATTTCGGAATCCAAGGATTTGCACAACTGCTTGGATGTGTCACATTACCTTCCGCCTCCAGAGCCGCACGGATTTATTTTCGGTATCAAATGTGAATTCACCAACTTGCATGGACCAGTGTGGAGAAGTATGATCAGACAAACTCCCATGGCTGACACGGCGTGGGGAGGCCTTCATCCAACAGTATATTCAACAAAGGGCAGTACATTACCATTTACTTGATAACTGTGTTTTGCCATGGACTTGTTGCTGGGTTGAATAGAGCCCTGGGGAATCGCTATTAACATGGACTTCACCGGATGGCGCATTCACTCGCACGAGCGGCAAGCAATGATGGATATGCTGTCTGAGGAGTCCGAATACGTGTGAAACCAGTATACAGCTGCCTTTTCTTTGTACTATCTGCATTTTTAAAAATGTTGCAATCTCAGCTATTTTGAGTTTATGGCCACCACAAAAGCTGCATGCAGAAATATGGTTTTCATCTCAAGAATGGCCGTGTCATCTTAGCATGCAAAGCATTTCGTAAGTCTTGTTATGTTTTGTTGCTGCAGATACAATGTTTGAGTACATATAATCGGATATTATTTTGGAATCGTCGGATTTACACTTTGCCGTATTCACCGCAATTTCTAGTTGGTTGGTAAAATCTCCATGGATTTCTTTTGGGACTTGGGCATTTTTGCCAAGGCCGTCCCCGGCGTGAAAGCCATCATTGAGTGGTATCTAGAGACGAGGTCCTGGGCTTGTGTTTAATGGGACCCCTGGGGAGTTGAGCTATAAACGTGGGCTCCACCGGATGGCTCATTCACTCACTTGAGACCTTGCAATTTGATCGCCTAATGAATGGGAATATGTTTGACAAGGGCACGCTGAGCACTTTTATGGCTTCGAACCAAACTCCGTGATTCTTTCAAAAAAAGCATTATATAGTATAGCCTGTGCATATATATAATGACGAAGTTGTCAACAATTCTGAGATGGTTAATATTTTCTCCATTGATATGTATGCGTTTGTTTCTTATATACAATATTCAGAAAATATATTTGAATACATCTAAATAACCTTGGCAAAAGTGTGTAACGTTTTTTGATTCCTCTTTTAATATGCATGTTTGGTAACCTCTTCATAAAATCTTCATATGGCCGTTCCATTTTTGTACTTAGATTGTATTTATTTACAAATATTGTTTATTTAGGCCTTGGTTTGTGAGAGCTTGGATGACGGCAGAAGTGTTGACCAGGTCAAAATAATTTACATAATTTGCAAAAGCTAGGCACTGGTAATTTAAATTGATTGGTTTTTTCTAGAATCCGATTGACAATATGTATGTGGTTGATGGTAGAAAAACCATTGCAAAACCCTGCTTGCTCCCATGGTCGGTTGACCTCCAATTTGTTCTTTATTCTGTTTGCTATTGATCCTCGTGAACAATTTATACAACTGTTATAAGGGGTCGTTCTTCAAGTCGGTTTTATGCACAATTTTGAATTATAAGAACGAGGTATCATTCCATAATTGCGGTACTTCATGTCTATGTACATATCTTGTGAACATGTCTGCTCATTTTGTTCCAGCAGTTGGTCCCACTTTTTCTTGATGATGTCCACAGTTATACCATCTGGTCCAGGAGTTGTCCAATTTTTTACACTGCGAAGGGCAGAGTTAACTTGTATCACATCCAAAACTTCCTCATCTACATTTTAAAGTTGGTCTGATT